GCTACAGCAACTACACTCGATAAATCCTAACATGCAGAGTGGCATGCTAATGATAACGACACCTCAAAAGAATATGCACACATATGCTCCAACACCATCGTTTGCAACACCACAAAGTCTTATGCAGCCACAAACGCCGGTAAATCAATGTTGAATTTAATGTTGTGTATACTAAGTGTAACGTTGCAATGGAATGTATTCCTGTTATATATATATATAAATTTTGAAAGTAATAACAAGAAATATTAAACATTTATTTCTTTAGCATTATAAAAATGCAGTGTCCTGTTTTATATATATATATATAATAGAATTACATTTTTTATGATGCTAAAGAAATATATGTTTAATGTTTCTTGTTATTACTTTCAAAATTTTCAATATAATTATGATCAGTCTATGTAATTAGAAGAAAATGAAAAAAATACACAAACATTAAAGAGTTATTAAAAATATTACAGAGAAATTTCATACAATAAATGATCTTGTACAATTTTGAACAAAAAATGTTTGAAGGATTGAAAGATGTACAATTAAGAGACACAGTATTAAGATAACTATTCTAAACATTAATATTTACTTCATTATTTAAATTGTTTTCTCCTTTTATTCTGTAGCAAAATATGATGTCTCCGATAGTACCACAAAATAATCAAATAGCGCCGCCATCGATAGGTCCTGCGACCCCAGGGCCAATGACACCAATGACCCCAGCTTCCGCGGATCCTGGAATTTTACCACAATTGCAGTAAGCAATTTTTTTTTAAATAAAAAAATTGTTATATATACAATAATTCACAACTGCCTTCTCTTACTTTTTTATATCGTCGTTTTATTTTAGGAATATTGTGTCTACTGTTAACTTAAATTGCAAGCTTGACTTGAAAAAGATAGCACTTCATGCCAGAAATGCCGAATATAACCCGAAAAGATTTGCGGCTGTTATCATGCGAATAAGAGAACCAAGAACCACCGCACTGATATTCAGTAGCGGCAAGATGGTTTGTACTGGTGCCAAGAGTGAGGGAGATTCACGTCTTGCTGCGAGAAAGTATGCAAGAATTATCCAAAAGTTAGGTTTTCCTGTACGTACTGTCAAACTTATTAAAATATGATACAAAATAAGTTACTTTTCTCAATGTAATTTTTTAAAATATAGTATTGCTTACAATTTATTGCGACACAATATTTAATAATATGAATCTAAACAAAATTAAGAAAACTAAAGGACTTTTTTTTTATATAAAATGATAAACATAAAATGGCATTGTAAGAGTCAAATAAATAAGAGTGATATTCTAAACGACTAATTAAATCATATATTCTAAATTCTAACTATTTTGGCAATACTTAAAAACTAACTTATAATATAACATTAAAGGACAGAGATATATTACATTATATTACTAGTTTCGACCACAAATTCTGGTCCTCTTCAGATTCGATATTAACGTTGAAATATAAAATTATAGATAATATTTCAACGTTAATATCGAATCTGAAGAGAATTTGTGGTCGAAACTAGTAATATAATGTAATATATCTGTCCTTTAATGTTATATTACAAGTTAGTTTTTAAGTATTGCCAAAATAGTTAGAATTTAGAATATATGATTTAATTATGCCCATTTCCATCAATGTAGATTAACTTTAATCTCGATTCAATTTGCTCTTCATTTTTTTCTAATTCTAAAAATTAGAAAAAGATGAACTGTAAGTTAAACTGAGATTAAAGTTAATCTACATTGGTAGAAACGAACATTAGTCGTTTAGAATATCACTCTTATTTATTTAATATGAATCTATTAATTGATGTTACGATATAATTTGATATAGGCAAAGTTCCTAGATTTTAAAATTCAAAATATGGTCGGCAGCTGTGATGTTAAGTTTCCAATTAGATTAGAAGGTTTAGTGCTCTCTCATGGCCAATTCTCCTCGTACGAACCAGAGCTATTTCCAGGTTTAATATATAGGATGGTCAAACCTCGAATTGTACTACTTATATTTGTCTCGGGAAAAGTAGTATTAACTGGTGAGTGTTCATATTTTATAACCGTTATAAGTACAGTAATTTTATAGTAAAGTATATACATGATGCAAAACATTTTGGGAATATTTTTAAAGTGTCTTCTTTTTACAATTTTCGAACATAACGCAACCAGATCTGCATAAAAACTTAGAAATTAAATAACACGTTTGTATTTAAATAATTATTGTATATTTATATATGTTACCAGGTGCAAAAATTCGCAAGGAAATTTATGAAGCCTTTGACAACATTTATCCAATACTGAAGAGCTTTAAAAAGCAGTAAGTCTATCAAATCATATTAAATTATAAAAGAAAAACACTATGTATTTTCTATTATAATTTAATATAATAATTTGTTCCAACCATCTCCGTTTTTAATACATTTTAGTTATTTTTTGTAATATATAAAGTCACGTAGATGAACGTACTATATTTAATATTGTTGAGTTGTTAAATATCTCTATTATATTCCACACATACAAGATGTCTTAAAATTGTTGGATATTCTAATTGCAAATCTTTTCTATAGTCTATATGAAACTGATATTTTTTTAATTAAAACTTAACACATGTAATTTTTTAATGGAAATAAACATTTTTGTTAATCAAGATTTTTTCGTTTAGTTAAAAAAGTTTTAGTATTTATGAAATAAATATTAAAAATGAGATCATCTTTATATTGAATGAAAAAACTGTGATTAAAAATATCCATTAATTTTAAGATACAGAGTGTTCGGATTTTTTTTTCGGAAATTCAACCGACGAACTTTTATTAATTGTCGGGAACACCAAAAGGATCTTTTTTTTTTTTGCAAATGGATCTAGAATTGGAAACATGTCGTTGCATCGCTATGGCAAATAGAATATTTGAAAAAGATCGGACCTCGAAATATTTCAAAGAATATAAATTTTATAAAAAATTATTTCGAACAAAAGTTGTAAGTCCATTTGCAAAAAATGATCCTTTTGGGGTACCCCTGACAATCCTAGAAAGTTTGTCGATTGAATTTTTGAACATCCTGTATAATGTATAAGGCAACTGACTTATATATATAGATTAGATAATTTAATTTATAAAATATATGTACGTTCATTTCATAAAAAAATATTGATTTTTTCAATGTGTAAAAAGCAAATAGAGTGAAGGTACAACTTGTGTAATCTTACAATGATTTTGTTTCCACACTTACTAATCTAATCAATTGATTAATTGATGACCGAAATTCTAAAAAGTACGTATAAAAATTATATATATACGTTATAACTGGAAATTTCTAAACCTTCCCTTTTTGCCTTCCTTAATGATAATAGTGCACATAATTCTATATTTACAAAATAGTGTCTTCTAGTAATACAGTGCCTCGAATAAGATTACATAAGTAATTAATGTACATGCTTTATCAATTTTAATTCTTAGCAGATACTGTATCTCAAACAAATAAGGAAAGAAAGTGCCAGATACTATGAGATTTTATAAATCCCATTACATATAAAATTGTAATTTGCATTAGAAAATAATTTTAAAGAATAGAATATAAAGACTTATTGTTATATGATTATGAAATATGACGTATGATTAATCAATATTACTGATTACTAAGTTACTAAGTAACTTAGGCCTGATTGCACCAACGTGATTTCGATTTTAAGCGAAACTTAAACTGCCTCTGTCTCTGTCTCCCTTTCGACTTTAAAACGAGATAAATAGAGTTTTAAGTCTCGCTTAAAATCAAAAAGTGTTGGTGCAACCGAGCCTTAGTAACTAAAGATAACTCAGTTATAAAAAAAGTTTTTACTTAGTACTTAAAAGTTTAAATTAAAAGATGACTTTTAATTTAAACTTTTTAAAAAGATTGCCTGTTATTATAAATAGACCAATAAAATTTATATCTACTGAGAATTATTATTGTTATATACATGTACACTTGAAAAAATTGTTATACCGTCGAATAATTTTCTACAGTTTAATTACTATTTAAATTGCTTGTTAAAAGCAATTTAATATACAAATACCTTCTTTTGAATAACGACTGTATTTTTTTTCTCAGTAAAATTATTTTTTTATTATGAAATCTATACCACAGTATAGGTAAGTACAGTAGTTTCACTCTCCAAAATTTATGGGTGCGCGAATCGCACAACTTTTATCATGGCGTCGATGTCACGTATGGATACTGTGTCACTGTATGTCACTGTGGTGTCGATGTGTGCAGTGAAAACAAAGGCCTCGCACAACCAACAACATGGCTGACTGTAGGACACATAGATCAAAGGTACCGACACAGAGTGAAACTACTGTACTTACTTATACGGTGTCTATACTATCATCTCTCAGAAAGCTCTTGAAATAAATTGTTCACTTATATGGCGGAATTTTATACGATAACATGAGATGGTCGAATTAAAATTTTCATTTCTTGAAAGAAATGTGGAAAAAATAACATTCTTTTGGCTAATATTAAATACTTGTAATAGAATTTACTTAACTTATTATAAAAGGCTTAATATTTTTGTAGATCCATTTCGAATAGAATGTACATAGAAAGAAAAAACTCACAATTAATTTTTCAAGAACATAAGCAGTAATTTGCGTAATTATTAGTACTATTGTATATTTATAAATATATTTGTTGCACCTAATGTATATTTGATTATAATAAAATTATATACAATGAAAAAAAAATTCTTTGTTTCTTTATCAGACACAAAACGCTTGATTTTAAAAATGTACATATATTTAATAAATAAGAGAATTATTATATATATATATATACACACACACATACACACAAAATATATAGATATATTTAGAATATATGTATGCGCGCGCACGCGCGATGTGTGTACATATATACAAACATATATTTAATTATTACAGAAATGATAAGTACCATAATCCATTTTCATAAAATTACATATACAAATTATAATAATGCAAATCACGAAAAACTGATCGTTTAACAAGTTTATAATTTTGATTTTAATCTATCTCGTAGTATTCGGCGTAATATTTTACCGGATGGAGTCTTTGGAATACTATCTACAAATCTTATACCACCTCTAAGCCGCTTAGGATTTGATACACGTTCTGGAACAAAAATATATGTACGTACACGTAGAATACATAAATATGTATACAAAATTTATGAATAAATTAAAAATGTATATTTATGTAAAATATAATATTACATTGAGCGAAAGCTATTAAGACATTTGACAACTACGTAAACTTTTTAATTTCCATTTAACATCGCAAAAGAGAAAAGTTTATAAAACTACACAGTCCAGTGTTTATTTCTTCTAACACTATGACATTTTTATTTCTCAAGAATTTTGCAAAATGACGAAAATTTCTAATCAATGCTAAACAAGAATGTAATGGAAACACTTCATATATTGTTTTATTATTAAGTTAGTTTCGTCATTAGGTGATACCGAAAGTTCTTACCATTAACATACTGGATTATATCTTTTTCACAAATATTAGAATTATCTTCCTTTACAATGAAGGCCATTGGTAATTCTCCAGTTTTGTCATTTGGTATGCCAATTACGGCCGCATCTTGTACACCAGGGCAAGTTAACAAAATTGCTTCGAGTTCAGCTGGTGGAACCTGATAGCCTTTATATTTGATAAGTTCTTTTATCCGATCGACAATGTAAAAGTATTCATCTTCGTCATAATATCCTACATCTCCCGTATGCAACCAACCATCCTTATCAATTGTCGCTCTAGTGGATCTTTCGTCGTTATAATAACCTTTCATTATTAAATCTCCTTTGAAGCATAATTCTCCTTCACAGTTTGGCCCTAAAGCTTCGTCCGTCTCGTATTCTCCAATTGGTATTACCTTTGCTGAAAAAATATCACAATTATATATTGTCAAATTTTGCAGATATATATTCTATTAATTATATTTGTTATATTGATAGAAAAATTATACACTCTGTTGAAATCATAAATATTGCATGTTGTAAAAAGAAATTAGAGAATCAATATTTAAATGAACTATCAAACATATAAATGTTACATAATATATATATATATATATATATATATATATATAAATATTCGACTTTAAAGTAATATGAGAAACTCAGAAAGAATGCATTTGCACATCTATATTGTATGATAGTAGTAGATATTGCTTAATTACGCTTTAAACTTTAAATGTAACAGACACTGTATTTTCTTAATCGAGAGAGTTTTACCTAATATGCCTGGAACTACTACGCCAACGCTGCCTAATTTTCCATTTTCTTCTGGTGATCGCAGTACAGCTAAAGTAGTTTCTGTTAATCCGTAGCCTTGTTTAACATCAGTAATATTTAATCGCTTAGCAACAGCCTTCTGAATTTCCTTCGATAATGGAGCTGCTCCACTCCTAATTAAATAACAACTTCAGTAATTGAATAATTTGTAATTTTCGAAATAAATCTAATATCTGATAGAAATACATTTTATATGCAAGTTTTAACAACTTATTGCAGTTCCATTAAACTCCTGTGTGTAATATTAAAAGAAAACTGCTACAAGAGTAGACAATTTATTCTATGTCAATGTTATTAAATTTCTATAGAGTATCTATAAAAAATTTGATTAAATTTATAAAAGTGTCATACTTTTAATTATTAAATAATAAATTTTCAATATCTAGATAGAAAAGTACTTAAATTTTTTTACTTTTATTTTTTTATGTATGTGATGTTAATTTATACAATAATTTTCATAACAATGTAGAAATAAATTGTACTTATTAATTATTCACAAATATTATGTACTCTATTTACTTTTTTTTTCTTCTACTAATCTTCACAATCTTCTTTCATATCTCATGTTTTGGTCTTCTGATTAATATGCTAGGCCTTAACATCTACATTTTTTATTTCTGATTTTATGAATTGCAGCAGTTTTCTTCCAAGATTTTGATATCTTGTTTCAAATTTGTAATATGCTTACCATACTGCTTTAACACATGACAAATCATATTTATCCACAAGTGGATGTTTAGCCAGAAATACCATAAGTGATGGTACCACAGGTAAATATTGAATTTTATATTTTTCCACGTATTGTAAGAATAACTCTTCTTCAAAGCGTGAGAATACAACACTGCAATTTCCCCTTAATAGGCCGAGTACCATCAAGACAAAAGAGTATGCATGAAAGAATGGCAGCAATGACAGAGAAACTCCTTGTTCAGGAATCGTGTTAGTGTTCATAAACATGCGTATGACTGTAGTAATATTTTTGTCTGTCAACATGACGCCTTTTGGCAATCCTGTGGTTCCACTCGAACATAAAATCGCCATTACATGGTCTTCTACATTGACAGGAGCTGCTTGTAATGTATTTGCATTGTCGTTGGAGATATTTGATATCTTCTTATACATACTCGCCCATGAAACATTGTTCCTACCATCAGTAAGCATTATGATTTGTGGTGACCAATGTAACTCTCTGAATACTTTTCTTATGCCATTAAGTGATACTGTCGAAATAAAAATAAACTTTGGCTTTGAAATGAAAAGTGCATGTTTCAATTCTCTCTCACTATACAGAGAATTTAAAGGACAGATAATAGCACCCAGATAAGCCGCAGCACATACTGGAATACAAAATTCCAAATTGTTCTCGCTGCATATAGCTATGGTGTCATTCACTTTCAGCCCCTCTTGCTGCAAATAGACCGCTAATCTCCGGCTGGTGTCCAAGATATGTTGGAATGTCTGCTCCTTGCCAGTATGAGAATTTATCTGATAAAAAAAGTTTATTGTAGTAGAAAATTATATATGTATAAATTCTATAACAAATTCTATAACAAATATTACGAATTCTATAACAAATATAATGAAAATTCTATAACAAATGTATATAGGTTAGGATTCCAATTATTTTTTACATTATTAATCTATTACATTATGTTAATATATACATTAATTATACAAAAATTAAATTAATCACGGACTTACGTGCGCCACACGAGTACCATGCGTCGTCAGTTGCATTAATAACAATTGTCCTACCGAGATATTAAATTCCGGCAACAATTCACCTTTGCCACGTACAATATTTAATTGTGACATGTTGAATATGAGGAGAAAATTGACACCTTTTTTTTCAGATAGGACGTTAGGATGTCTTTTAATACAATGTTAAAGAGAAAATGCGATTGTATGCTTCAAATAACGTGATTACATCGATGATAAGAGCAAACTAAATAAGCATATCTATAAGTACTCAATCTTCTATCTTATTTTTCTCTCACATTTGCAAATTTAATCAATAATCACACATCTCGCTCGTGTCCCGTGCTCGCGCCTCTTCGAGATGAGATAATTGCAGTGTTTCAAAAAAAGCCGATAATTCTGCCAACTCGTGGTTAGATGGCAGCACGCGTAACATTTTTGGACAATCTTGTACTTATGAATGTTCGATAGATGGCGTATGCGTTTCTAAAAGTGATTTAAATCGTACATGAACATCGTCTGATCGAATATATATTTAATATCAGTGTTACGTCTCACAAAAACCGGTATTTATAGTTCATTCTTAATTAAAAATTTTTAAGCAATTCTATACCAGTTGAAATAATTAATTTGTTAAAATGATTAAGTAATTAATTAATTGATAATTAAATAATTGAATAATATTCTATGCAAGTTCAATAAAATACACGAGTGTGTGTATGCTTGTTTAATAAGTTAATTAGCAACCGGCAGAATTATTTGAAGAAAAATTTTTGTATAATAAAGTAGATATATATATATATATTTTCTTATTTTATTTTCAAACAATAAAAAAATTAATATATTGTATTTAAAAAATTAATGTTTGATAAATGAATTGGCGATTAATTTAACTAACAGAATTTCTTAAAAAAAAATTTTATATGGCTACATAACTGTTGTCTCTAGTCTATGAATTTTCCTATTCACGTGTATCTGTAATAACAAAAACACAATAATCCTATTCATGATAGCAAAACAGTAGATATACATACAAAGTACCGCTTGAATGAGGTCATTTTCCAAGTATAGCAAGCTGACGTTATTTGTCGTCATTTTAATGTGTCAATAGAATTATCTCCATAATGTCACTTTCACATCAAAATGACGACAAATAATATCAGCTTATTACCTAGATTGCTTAAATTAATTAGGCCCAATTTTAAGGTTATATCAATTTCTATATTTGTGTATTTGTATAGATAAAAAAAAGAAATACAGTAAATAATAGATACATAATAGAGTCAATTTTAGACAAAATCCATTTCAAACCTTCTTGCCTTTCACCCTTCCATACACATACACACACACATTTATAAATCGGAATATTGACTTTATATACAATAAAAGAGAAATCATTAAGATAACATATCTATTATATATTAGGAGTGCCATGTTGCTGCATTTTTTATGCAGACATGTGACTGATTGATTTTTCTATACTCACTTTGTGATTATATGTAAATCCGTTTGGATTTACATAAAAAGGTCTTGAAGGGTGAAAGAATATTTTTATCCTTACATTTTTTACATCATACAAACGAAACTGCTTGTTATATTCAATATGTATAAAAAGATCCTTTCATAAGAAACACAAAAAGAAAAAAACAAAAAGACATTAAAATGAATATAATTGAAAAACTTGATACCTATTGTCTACCAAATCTTGAATAAACCAATAATGATTTATAATTTCAAATAAAGTCAAGTATTAATGCTATAAAATAATAAATTTTCCTAATTCTTTTCAATTACAATATATTTCTGTCTTATTTATGTTAGTAAAATAATCTCTCTCTTACTAAAATTTCATATATTAATAATTGAATAATAATAAATAATTGAAAGTATTTCTCTTTCTCCCTCTTACATTTTAATTAAATGATACACATTCACTACTTGACAAAATTTCGATACTGAAACATTATGAAAGATTTTCTGTATTTCTATAGTCAAACGTTAACATTACCTTTAATAATATTTTCATATTTTCTATGATTCCAAAAAGGAATGTATTATACATATTTTAGATGTTTTATTAGATATTTCACATCTTGTCCTATAAAAAATTTCAATAGAAATAATTAAGAACGATGTTGCAATATATTTTACTTCATTCAGCAGATATTTATATAAAATTTACATACCTATACGAAATTTATAGTATTTAAGAAACAATTAATGTATCTCTCTTACTCTTGTTTCTCTTTTTCTTTCTGTGAAGATAATAATAGAATTAACAACTGTAATTTTTGATTATAGATTCCTCAACGTAAAAGAATTAATTAACAACGTAATAATTTAATAATGTCGCAATCATAATAACATAATAGTTGTCGTCAAAGAAACGTTTATTTTAACGATTAAAACAATCGATTTATTAATTTTAATATTAAACTTTGTACATTATTTTGTCAAAGCATTTTGCGACAGATACTTATACACAGGAAAAGGGAATATATTTTAACACAAGAGAGGGAGCATAAATTTATCAATCCAAGTATTAACTCAAAATAAGAAGCTTGTGGCATTTTTGCACTTTTGTCAAAAGTAACTCTTCTCGTATACTTAAAAAAAAAAATGCAAAGAATACTTTAGAGTATCTTAATCGCAGCACAATATTTAAATTATTAAAAATATACCATAATTGTCCAAAAACATGTTTTTTCTTTTTACATAAATAATTGCACATCTGCAAATTTTTTGCAAATTAAACTACCGATGATTTTTTTATAATAATTGATGCACTGTTACACCCTTATGAAAAAATACTATTGGAATCGCGGAAGAACAATTAAAAATATTTAAAAAGTCATTCGAATCGAATATTCGAATATAGTACACTTCATATTCCAATTATATAGTTTCTCACTAATCCAATGGTACTTTTTCACGAGGGTATGTTGATTGTAGGCTGTCATATACACAAAGCAACACAAAACAAATTAAATTTATTTTGCAATTGTGTAAATGTAGTTGTAGATGGTAGTATGATTGTAAGTATTGATCACACAATCATAGTCGAATATTCTCTCTTTATATTTAACTATATACAGGATTGGTAAATTCTTAACGCTACAATCACAACTGCGTCACGCAATTGTAGATTGAACTTTGCGCGTGTGTTGTACAAGATGTTCAGCACGAATTATCACGTATAGAGTTTGACGGGATATCTGTCAAACGTTTTCGTTGGTCAACAAGACGCTATAGATTTCAAAGCCTCTGCAATTTGATAAGTTTGTATACAGCAGCCTCTGTAGTTTGCACTCCAGCATGCACTAACAGCATCGGATTCGTTATATCGGATGCACAAGACGTATACGGAGGCGAAGGTCGCTGATATATCACCCGCGTGAGAGAGATTCATCGAATCAACACCACTGTACGCAATGCCAATTCCCACGCTTTCGCTCCGCGACAGCTAATGCAAGAGAAACGGACGACGGAACCTCCGCGCGTTCCGTCCGGAAGGAAAAAAAAAAAAACGTGCGGGAGAATCTTAGTGAGAGATGACGTGAAACTCGGGGCTTCCTCTCGCCGAGGAAGTTTCGGATTGGTATACACACGCTTGGAAGCGATGCGTGACGGCCGACGAAGATCGAAAAGTACCGTCGGTCGCTGCGAGCCCCGACGAGGATTTCGGCGCGTGTGCCGCGAAACATTTTTCCGTCGTCGATTTTTCCCCGCCCTTTTGTCAACGCGGGTGGGCGCGGTCGTGCGGACGACCGCCTCGAGCGGCGAGCGATCTGCACGGTATTGCGCGCAGCGGCCGCCACAATGTCGGGCGAAGCCTCGCACGAGCGTTACGATAGGCAGACGCGTTTCAGCTCATTCGGGCGTAACACCAACGGCGTGCCGGCTGACGCGGTGGGTTCGTCCCGTGGCGGGTAGCGGCGGCAACCGATGGGGTCCAATCAACGGCGAGGCGAAACGATCGCACCGCCTGTACGGCAGCGCTCGTCCAATGATCACACGGCGGATCTTCAGCATCCACTTCTCCGAGTCGTGGCCTCACCGCTCCTCTCTACGGCGTATGGAAACCCTTCTCTCACACGCAAAAGGGGACATCTCATCACGACTCTTGGTAGCAGGCACTTCTCCGTAGTGGGCACTCCACTCATCGTGTCGTCGTACGGGTTCTCCGCGAGAGGCTGTGGGGCCTGTGCCCGGGCGGGCGAGCAAGCGAGCGAGCGAACGAGCGCGAGCGCGAGCGGGCGAGCGCTGGTCGAGTGGGTCTAAGCGGCCGTGAGGACCTCTCCAGGAGTACCCGACAGAAGTCCTCTCCATTCATTCATCCATCCATCCAGCCAGCCAGCCAGCCAGCCAGCCAAGCCAAGCCAAGCCAGCAAGCCAAGCCAGGCAGGCAAGCCACCCAGCCAGCCAGCCAGCCAGCAAGCCATCCATCCATCCATCCATCCATAGAACGGCTCTTCTCCTACGAGGAGAGTGTATCCTCGACGAAGGTGGAGGCGAAGCGTAGAGTGGTACATCTACCATCGTCTCTCTATCGGCGGAATCCAAGGACTCCAAGACCCCCGTGTGATTTCAGTCGGCCGCCGGCCGGCTCTGGCCGGCCACTATATCCCTCGACCACGTGGGCAAGGTCGCCGCGTAATCCTTCGTCCGTTTTGGGATTCCAAGGAGCAAGACGCGTAACGCGTCGCAACCACGCCGAGACAGTGTCGAGAGGTCCGACGATCGCAGGAGAGCCATCCGAGTCGGCCGCCGGCCGACCGCGGCCTCGATTTTTCCCGGTTATATACGTGTGATGACAGTTCGCCGTGTGCCACGTGACATTGCATCCCTTCGTCTCTTAACGTTGTCTTACGTCAGTCAATCTCGCAGCTTCTCCCCAAGATTTCCGGGGAAAATACTCACGAACCGCATATATAGCGACGACGAATGTGAAAGGAAGATGATGGATGAAACGTTTACCATTGGCAACGTTGGCAAATAAAAAAATGTCCACAGTGAAGAAGTTCTTCTTCTTGAATTCACCCTCAATAGAGAGAAAGAAGTAATGGTTCGAAATAGTAAGTGCGAAGACTTATTTGGCCAAAATCTATAAGTGATAGTGGAGAGCTCGAAGCTCGCGAGTTCGATAGTTACCGAGAAGAAACGTCAGTGTCTTGCGGTACTTCGAGTACTTCCGGTGCGATCTCTCATGCTTGTGTACAAGAATTGAAGGTTCTCACGACTGCAAGAGCTATGCGTGCGTTTAAACGTGATCGAGATCAGGGAAAGAGAAAGAGGGACAAACACCGGCTCGCGGCGAATGGGCTGTATATCGATTTCGGGGACAAACAGTCCCGATGTTAGTGAAGACGGGGAATTTTTTATTGTGCGCCCGCGTGATCTATATTATAGTAGTATATAAGTGAGCGCGTCGACGTATACATACGAGTGACTTGTGGCATATTGTGGGATTAACTAGCCGTGTGTATCGATTTCGGTCCCCCGAGTGAACGATCGTTCGAGTGACGTACCGTCGAAATTTCACGCGGCGAAGACGTTCGGATTTCGTTCGGAGTTAATCAATCGTCCGTCGAGATTGTGTGAAAGCTATATACGTTGGCGCGATCGGCAATCGCGACCTGGTCGAGAGAGAGAGAGAGAGAGAGAAAGAGTAGCGTCATAATGCGCCGTTGTTACGGCTAACGCCCGGCCTCATCATTCCGCGAAGCGCGAGCTTCAAGTACTTCGACGGCGTCGGGCTCGCCGAGATGAGCGGTGGCAACGGCGGCGGCGGAAACGGTGGCGGCAATCAAGGCGGTAATGGCAATGCCACGACTTATCACCAGCATCAACAGCAGCAGCAGCAACAACAACAACAGCAGCAGCAACAGCAGCAATCGCTGGAACAGGCCGGCCTCCTGTCGGACCTCAATGGCATCGACCTGGCGATGAGCCTGTCGCCCAAGCAGCACTCGTCCCACGTGCAAGCTGCCGGTGGTGCCCACACTACGCCTTTCAGCGTCACCGATATCTTATCGCCGATCGAGGAGTCTTACCGGAAGCTCGAGCTCGCCGCTGCCGCCGCCGCCGTCGGTGTTGGTGTCGGCGTCGTAACGCATTCCCAGGGCTCGCCTTACGGGAACGCATGCGGTGCACGGGTGGGTGGTAACACCGGTAGCTCGAGCGCAAGCAGCGGCAGCCCGCCGCTGCACGGTGGTTCGACGCCCGGCGGCAGCACCCCCGGACCAGTTTCCGTTGCCAACGGGGCCGCCCCCGGTGGCGGTGGCAGTGCCGGCGGTGCCGGCGGAGCCATGAGTGCCATGGGTAATCCTTACGCAACTATGCAGCTCACGTCGCAATACCAATATTGCGCCGCGGAATTATCGCCGTATCATCACGCCGGGCCCGGCGTGGGCGCCACGGCCACAGCCACGGACCCCATGAGGTCCCATGCGGTCTCGTCGCACCATCATCCGTGGTACGCACCGGCGCCACCGACCACCAATGACCCCCGCTTTGCCAGTGAGTAGCTTGTCTTTTATTCAAGGGGAAAAGAATCGAAGAAAGTATCTATACCCAGTCGACACCAGCTAAAAGTAAAACATATCGATGTAACGTTAACTTATATGGTATTGATATAATAGGTACATTTGTTTACTGAGAAAAATTATAATACTGATTTTCTATGATTTTTAATTGATGTCGTCTGGGTCTATTTTAATTGTGATTTGTTTTATTCTTCGTCTTCTTCTAATTAATTGCGAATTATTCTTACACGGAAGGAGAACGATTTTGCAGTGAGATCTAAAATTGAGTTGGATATAGATATGGAATTAATTTTGTCAAAATAATATTATGCTGGAAACTAAAAAATGAACATGCTGAAAACATTTGGATATATTCTAACAATCAATTTCCAACGAAAAGTTTTTTTTAATCAAGCAAAATTTTATATCTCCGCAAAATGATTCTTTCCATGTATGTATCCTATACAATTAAAAAACGACAAAAAGTAAATTAAATCGGGATTAATGTTATTGTCGGAACATAAAACGAACGAAACCTGAGCATTTGAGTTAAATTATACATATAATCTCTCAATACAATAAATTATAATATACAGGTATAAAATCAAATTTGTCAATATATAAAATTGTAACAAAAAAAGTGTGAAAAAAATATCATATTATCGATAATTAATGAACAAATATTAGTTTTTCGTTAATTCAATTAACTTTCTATAAAACTGCTACTTACATTCTAATAAAATATACTTTCTAAGAAATTAAAAAAAAATTAATTTTTTCTTATTACGGTTTTCTTCGCAAAGTCCTTCATCACCGCTGTGACTATATAAACGTCTAAAAATACGATTACATTAAAAGTCGATCGTAGGAGTTGAGCGTAGAAAAATGATTTTCATCGAAATCTGAGAAACGATTTTGCGCTCGCTAATGGAGGGAATATTTTGTTTGGTATATCCACATACATTTACATGCTCGTCAGATGAGCAAAAAGCCTCCGCGGACTTCGTCCACATATTGATTAATTCAGTCGTTCGATGAATTACGTCTTGGACAGTTAGTCTGTCCGCTAAACGTTACCGAGTTATCGAATGCAAACAGTCATTCTGTCAGCCTGTTAAATGAGTTTCGATGGGTCTGTATTTATCAGAGAGGCTCGGTTGTGTAGTCTCATAGAATATGACGCTTGTACTTTCAAAGACGTGTTCTCCCTGACGATCGCCGGCATGAAAACCGACACATCAGACGTACGATCTACACCTGTTATTTAATCACCGATAGAAAAATTGGCGAGTGAAATCTGTAGGAACGTCGAGGAATCACGCGCGAGAGAGTTAACGTTTATCAGATATATTCATCAAAATCTTGTGTTTTGTGTATAAATGCCGGAAGCACGACACGAAGCGATTCCGGAAAGAAAGAGAAGAAAAAAGAAAGAGAGGACGATGCACGATGTTGTACTCGGATAAAAACCTATCTCCCAACGAGCTATTCCTTCCGCCTTCCAAGAGTCACGTCCGTCAGGCTTTTATCGGCCTTGTAACGACAAGACCATGGATATCTTAGCTCCATTTAGGGGATCGACGAGAGAGTGTCGGTCTCGCGTTACAAAGTTGACAAAAAAGCGCCATCGTTAATTGGTAAGGAGAACCCGTCGGCATTGCTCAGTTTACAACTGTCTCCAAGTGTTCTACGAGAGAGGACTAGATTTTATTCTCATCGTCAAAAGCGTGTACGGACTTTTTACAAATAAGCTAACAAATTGTGAGGATATAGGAGTTTGCTGGAATTCTTAAAAAGATCGCAATGACACCGGCTTCATAAAAAATGAGAACGCAAATTGATCCTTTTTAAATTATTTGATTCTGGATATAACAGAAAGGAACGCAAATTGATCCTTTTTAAATTATTTGATTCTAGATATAACATTTCCAAATCTATTTTTGTATCCTAACTCTCCGCCTGTAACCTAAGTTCTATTTCATCCTCATTTTGGCCAAATTTCAATTTAAAGATTTCAATATTTTGGTTAAAAAAAATATTTGGTAATGTAATAGAGATGTTGAAAAGTAACCCTGAAAATTTTTCCATATTTTTTTTGAAAATCTGAAACAGTAAAAAGACTTGGGCAAAACAAGATGGTCCCAGATTGCAGACGAAGGTAGGAAAGATAGTTGCAAGGGAGAGTTAAAAACGCGACTTTTTGAATTTAATCGTCCATAAAGTGAGTGGAGATAGAGCAGTCTACAGTTTGCAGCGATATTCTTTAAGTGGAACAGTTTAAAAGGATTGGCGTAAAAGCGTCCTCGCGGGAAGTGTAGGAGCTTTGACACTTCGGGGATCCATTTGGATGTCCAGGGCGCCGCATAAGTTTCGCGTTTCAGTGTCCACAAAAGAAACGTCGCGCATACCACCGTCGGCCAACAATGCGCGCATCTTTCATGCGACTTGTGTCAACAAGGCGCGTTCGTCCTCTCCTCTGTTGGATTTTCGTCCATCGCACGCGCCACTTTAGCGAGCCGATCGCTCGCCGCTCTCGCCGCGTATCGATCCAGAATTCGAGAAAGCGCGACTAGTGGACGGCGCGCTGAGGATTTTAGTTAAACAAATAAGAGGGACTGGTCCTCGAGTTAAATGCCTCAGACGCGAGGATGCCCGTCCGCACCATACGAATTCGATTTCGCAGGACTTATCGTCGCCCCTTGTAAAATAAACAGAGCGCGCAGGGAAAGCCCCGCGTCCGTCCACCGAGTTGCAAACGAGACGTTTCCCCGATGCGCGATCGCTTCAATTCGTTTTCTAAAACTGTGACTATGTATGGCAGCATTACGTGGTAGGCCGAAATAAGACGTTACGCATTGAAGATTGAGATTGAAATTTGGCCAATTAAAATAATAGGAGCTAAACTTCCTTTATCCTCATTGGCTAAATTTCAATTTTTTTTTTTTTTAGTTACTGCGTATCGCGAAACGGTAGTATAAAGTAAATCGCGAAAGAGCTTTTGCCAAATCATCAACGTATTTAACGTGGAATGTAATTTATCCATCAATTATATTATAATTTAATCTATCTGTCAATTATATTATAGGCAGAAATTTTTTGCAGTATTTTAAGATGTTTATTATAACATTATTATTGAAGTGATCAATGTAATTTGTGATATGTTATTTCCAGCTTCAATTTATGATTGCGTTTCGAGACAAATTGAATTGATGCGCAATTATATAACTGAAGATAATTTATAGTGTTTATTGCATTTATTGGTATTTATAAATATACGTATATATGAATGTTATTAAACTTTAATCTATTTGTTTTATTTCTTTTATGATTCTATATAAAGAGCGAGTTGTGAATTTACATATTCGTCATTGTTTGCCGTGCATCAAAAATAAATTTTCAACAGGGAAAATCCACTCATTAATTTCTTCGACTTGACTTGTTTAATATCATTGTGTTATTCTAGTTTGACATTTTTCAATGATAGATTACGTCGATCGATTATGCTATATGCGTTTGCGATTTGCATTTAAAAAATGTCCTGTTAAAAACTTTTGCTTTTATTGTCACGTAAGCAAACGTTAAAATTTTAATTGTTATTATATTCTAAACTCTGCAAGATTTATTATTTCTTTTGTATTGTTTTTCATTGTATTTTTTCTTCATTTTATTACGATAACAATAACTATCAGTTTTGTCCAGAGTCTTGATAGGTGTATATTTACTATTTTCACTCTAGTTTCTCTTTACTAAACGTTTTCGATTATGGTTTTAATCTCTATTGATTCTAATCAAGTTATTTTCTGTCTAGGATATATTTAGTATAGAAAAAGAACATGTAACTTCGAGAATCAATTTCATCAGTAATTTGTCTCTGCATTACGCGAATTGGGATCGCGAATGGGATTTCCGTAGCAAATTTAATAACAAGTTACAGACCCTGTGACACATGATTTATGACGCTTTAAATAAGATCTAATTAGAGGAAAATTAAAGTGAAACGCGAAATGACATGAGCAAAATTATACAATCGACGCGTGAAATTAAATGTTACGTCTATATATCTACATGCCATCGGGCGAGATATTTTTATCCCCGCTGGATTGGACGACTTTCACACTGTGGGCGGTACACGAAGACGTCTGTGATTCGGAGCGAGAAATCTTTTGGGCTTTTGTCACCTAATTGGAAGCTGAAGGAGTCAAGACGGTGGAGACGACTTCCCCACCCCGTCGGTCGCTATGCCACATAATTACGTTTTGAAACGGGGATGTTCGACGTGAGGCACAGTGCGACGCCGGTGGTCAGGTAGACGTTGGAGAAACGTCAATTTACTTAACGAGTTCCTGCACGCGCGTTGTTCGCCCATCATCGGGATCTGCCTTCGTGTATTGGCAGAAGTTACATCGAAACATCCCGTTCCGTTCCGTCCAGTCAGTCGTACCCGCACGCATTGTTCTCGGTGACTGCTGACGAGCAGCTTTAAAAGGATAGCATCGTACGAGAAACATAATAATTTACATCACCGATGTGATTTACGTGAAATTCCTTTGCAGCGCCAATTAATATTAACACGTGATAATCGCTTATCAATAGTTAGAAGAGACTCTTTTTGAAATTGTACAAATTTGTATAATTATGAAAAGAGATCACATAATTTGTAGAAATTATCAAATACTTGCTTTATGAGAACAAGCAATTTTGACTGATTTGAATGCAGGGCGTTTGACAATCAATGTAACAATCCAAGTAGGAGGAAATTGTACACGAATTTATAAAAAGGATTGTCAAATTAGTTTCAAAAGATCATACGCTTATCGAATCTATGGATAGAATATATCATCACAGAAAGTGGCGAGCTGGATTAATTTGAATGTAGAGCGTCGGTATAATCAATGCAACAATTCAAGTGTAGAAGGTAGAAAATTTGTAAAAAGGATTATTAAGTTAATTTCAAGAAATTATGGGTTTATATAAAATTTGTAGAATATATCGTAATGCATAAATGGCGCTCGAGTCAGTTTTGATTTGAATGATAGACTACGTTTCGTAATCAGCAACAATTAATCCAAGTAGGAGATCGTACACGAAATTTGTAAAAAGGATTGTCAAATCGACTTCAAGTAATCGCTTCTAAATTTTGTGGATAGAATATACCGTAATAGGCAAGTGACATGATTTTGTTTTAATTAATTCGAATGCAACGCACATATGTTGTAATCAGCGTATAACAATCTAGGCCGCGTCATACACTGAAAATCTACAGTATATATGTACATGTATTGTAATGTGAACTATAGATTTTCAGTACTGATTGCATATATATACATATATCCGGCACACAGCCCTAGATAGGAGGAAATCCTACAAGAGCTTGTAAAAATGATTGTCAAGTTGATTTCAAGAGATCACGGGCTTATAAAATTCGCAACAGGCAAGTGGCCCGCGAACGCAGTTTTGATTAATTCGAATGCAGGGCGTCTGGTAATCAGTGCAACAATTAATCCCGGCGAGGCGGAGCCGCGCACACGGAAACTCGTCGGGTACTCGAATCGGCTATCGAATATAGGCTATCGAACACAAGCTCGGATATCCGCGCGTATAACGAGAGAGGGACCTCCGACGCGAAAAACGGCGCCGTCGACTTCCTCCATCGCGCCGCCGCGCGCCGGTGAAAATACGACAATTACTTTCGCTCAGTGCACGCAGTGCGCTACGAATTCGAGCTATACCATATACGCGAACTCCGTACGATTTTCTCCCATATAATACGAACGTGCCGAGGTAAACAAATTTGACGGTGTTTGTTCCTGCGCTCGAGTGGTATTTCTTTCTCGCCCTCGACTTCACTGACGGCTCGAGAAATACGGTTCTCACAGGCATAATAATTCGGAACTTCATCTCGGGACCTCCCGTGCTCCGATGGTGACGTAGCACTTCGCAGCGCCTAAATCGTTCCCTTTGTCCGCGCCCAAGCGCGTTCATTTTTGACAGCTCCTCGCCAACTGACAAGGGATAGACGACCGCTCGCTCGCTCGCTCGCTCGCTCGCTCGTCTGGGTAGCCCTCGGTAGCTCGAATTTAGAGGAGAATCGTTCAGCCGTATACGCTTAGACGTATACTTATGAAAATATGAATATGTCATAATTATTATAATCTCTATCGCTATACGTTGAAAAATCATTGGTAACAATTCTTTTAATTGATCCTCGAGAATTTCATTCTCTCTCTTGTTGTGTGTAACGCGCAATGTTTCGTATTGTACACGAAAAGAATGGCTTTATATTAAAGTGTCTATTTCAGCTAGATCTGAAAATAATAATGTTGAACCATCATCAAAATATTTATGTAGAAAATTTAAATATTATGAGTAAAATACTGTGAAAAGTTTGGATATTTTAGCAATCGACTTGAGCGTTCTACACATAATTATTTTATCTAACAAAATTATTTTTATCCAGCTGGTTGCTAGAATGTTAAATTTTTTTTTGCAGCATTACTATCATTAAGTTTCCTAAATAATTATTTTGATAGTTCAACAAAAGTATTTTCACAATAAGTTATATACAACTCACTATATTATTAAAACATTAAGAGAGAAAACGGCAAATATGAGCAATATTTCTGTAATTGGTGCGTGAATAAAATACTGTACGCAATTATAGTTATAATTGTAAGTAAAAAAGTAATCAATCATTGAACGTTTCGACTCTTCTTGGAGTCATCTTCAGCTTACAGTTGGGGATTCAATTTAAGGTGTTATATTAACATCCTGTCAATGCGGAAGACGTGAAAGATCCTTACTAAAAGAATATAAAAAACATAGGCTACAATATCTAAAATAATGTAAGTGGATATTTACTGTAAGAAAAAAAATTGAGGAAAAATATAAGAAAATTATCTTCAGATCTGTATTTAACTTCAGCAAAATCGTTCTTTCCGTATATATACCATGAAAATCTAAAACTATATAGATACTTAAAATGAAAATAAAATTTAGAACCACGATATCAGAAGTAGAACGTAACTTCGTCAAAAACAAGGAATATATCTTTCTTATTGTTAGGGCGAGTTCACACCTTGACGGAAAAGCGGAAAGCGGAAAAGCAGTAGCCAATCCGAACTCGCGCTGACAGTCGACTTTTCTGTTAGTTTTGTACTACTTACTACCAACGCGAGTTCAGATTGGCTACTGTTTTTCCGCTTTCCGCTTTTCCGTAAAGATGTGAATCCGGCCTTAGGTATAGACTGTAAATCTTTATATAGCGAAGATGCATGCGGGAAAAGGAAACTCGCAAAGTATCATTCCCGGTTTGTTCAATATGTTTTGCAGTCTCGCGACTGATGGGCGCCGCGGCGGCGGGCGCCGGGACCAACATGGCCGGCTGCTCGGTGGGCCAGTCGATGGGCGATGTGACCAAGTCGTCGGGAATGGGGGTGGGCGTCGGCGTCGGAGTCGGCGTTGGCATGGGCGTCGGCGCGATGCAATTCCCTCTCGCGCAGAGACGGAAGAGACGCGTCCTCTTCACCCAGGCCCAGGTCTACGAGCTCGAAAGGCGATTCAAGCAGCAAAAGTACCTCAGCGCGCCCGAACGGGAGCACCTGGCGTCCTTAATTCATCTAACGCCCACGCAGGTATGTTTATAATTACTTATAGTTAATATGGTAATTACTTGTACTATTCGTATATATGTATATGTAAGTTTTAGTTCACACGGTATATAGGGACTTCGTCTCGGGACGCAATCGTACTTCGATCCGAATATCGTTCGCGTTTTTAATTTTTTTCATTTTAACTAAAACTCTGATGAAACTCAACCGAGTTTATTATAGACGGGGATATTCAGATACGTGAATTGATCTTGGGACAAACTCATCCGTTAGATAGTTTTCGTACAATTTTATTGAGCTTTGACGAAGATCCACGGTAGTGGATCGTTTATACCAAGCGGATAAGATGGCTAGTTCCGGCATACGCCGATTTTAACGAGTGTATTCATTTTCATTGAACGCAGACAGGTCTGGCCGACTCGAGATGCGGTATAGCGGGTCTGGCAACAATAAATAATTGTTACGTGGCTCATTGGCCGCATCCTGCATTGATGCACGTTCATGCGCGGGTCTCCCCCTCGTTCGGTCTATCGTTCCGTCTACCGTTCGTCTCTCCGTCTGCGGTTCAATTCACTTATCAGCCCTTTGAAAACAAGCGCGTCGAATTGTCTGTTTGTCATCGCGACGTTTGTAACGCAACAAGGACGACGTTATCGACATGGCTCGACTTAACTAGATTTAATTAACGCTTAGCGCCATAAAAATCTCAAAATATCTTTTGCAGTCCTTTTGAGTCCATATAAACTCTCTTCTAAATAATAAAACTTCATTTATTAATATTAGATTAACTTATACTGAAAGAAGTGTTTACTATTTGTTGACTATAATTGCATAGTAAATTAATTATGGTTAGGAACTGAATTTTTATAATTATTACTGCTTTAATATGTTAGTAATTATAATTATATTTATGATTTTATCTCAAGTATAGTTGACATTGAAAAAGATTTATGGAGAGAATGATATGTTGCTGAAGTATCTAAAAACTTGTTATAAGATATAGATTTGAAAATAAATTGTTTTGAATTATCAAAATAATTATGTAGCTCGAACGTTGAAACTGATTGCTAAAATGTCAAATTTTTTACATTGCTCATTATCTTTGAATTTGTTACATAATATTTCACCAACAAAATTATGTTTTGTATAACTATATCTATATGTTTTTAAATAATTTAGCGAAATACGTTCTTTCTGTGTATAAATTATAATCAAATTGTGATAATTGCAACCATTTTTCTCAGTGTAGATGAAATAAAATGATCAAATGAAATTGAGATCGAAATATATTGAATTACATATTACTAATTTGCGAGAAATAATTTGAACACAAAGAGCAAATATTTACATACTTTCCCTGATGAAAGTATTTTCAAAAAGAACGCATTGTGTATGAATATTTGTATGCCATTTACTGCAAAAAAGCGAATAAAAACGACTTGTTAGCGGCAACTAGGTCTAACGAGAAGCTTCACACAGTGAACAAAAGATTTCTCAAAATGGAAACGGAACGCTTCCTTAAACCGGAAGAGTCAAGCGCCCGCACGAAGCCTTTCGAACGATGGTGACGAGTCGATTCCATGTCAAGCACGGAAGTCGGCAAAGAGCCCTGATTGCAATCAGCCGGGATTTTCATGCGCACCCGAGGCGAATGTGGGTACAGGCGGTACATAAGTTTCGACGAGTTTTATGAAAGATTGCAGTGATCATGGGAGTCTTGTGATCAGGCGAGGGAAGATAATTGTGGACGATTTACGTTTCTTCTTATATGTACACATATACATGTATTATACATTCTATCTATCGTCGTACATGAAAGACCGCTATTTTATTCGTGCGTTTAAGGCGATAACAAATTTTTCAAGTCTGTTGATTGGCTATAGAATAAAGAGATCCGAGGACCTCTCTGTCCTGCACACATTTGTCATACGACAAAACGCACAAATAAAATGTCATGCTTTGTGTGTTATAAAATATAAATTATGCGTAGTTTCGCGTTCTAGAGGTCACAGTATATACATACACAGAAAGATTTACTGTTTAAAAAATGAATACTTTGTTAAATTATACATATATATATATATATATGTGTCTAAAATAATTTCATTAGGCCATTAAAATAATTATATAAGACACTCAAACAATGATGATATGTAAAAATGTTCTCAACATTCTAACCAGTTTAAAGTGTTCTACATTAATTAATTTAATGGTCCGAACAAAATTATTTTTAAATCTGTATCTAATTAATCTACAGATCTATAAATTATTTTTTGAGTTATTAAATACTTAACCTAGTTACTAAATATCAAAATTTTTTATAACATTGCTTATCTTACTTAAGTGTATCCTAAATAATTATTTTGCTGTCCTAACAAAATTATTTTCGAATCTAGCTAAATTTTGAGATATTTCAGCAGAAACGTTCTGTCTATATATATATTTTTTGTAAATATTTTTTCAAATATAAGTACGGTAATATCTAACATTTAGCAACTCTCCTCTATATGCCTCGCTGTTTATCAACATTTTTTGTGACACAATCGTATTTCAGATCACTATATTGATCGCGCGGTTACCAAATCGCAAAATCACGGATGGTAGGCTGCCCGCCATCTCGAAGAGAAATCTCTTACATTAAGAATGCAATCTAGAAAAAAAAAATGGCGACGATATCGGAGCGCGTGACAACGCATTGCATTTATCTCGTTGGTGTCTCTCTCCCGTCCCGCCGATTTCTCGTCCCGTTCCCTCCGGAGAGCATGTCCTCCCCTTGTCCCCCTGGCACGGGGCACACACAGATGGGTCCCTCCATTTTGCGCTCGCATTGTTACTCCAAGTACCCGGCCCCCTCTACCTCTTCGCGCGGTGTGCGGTGTTACAATGCCTAGCCACTCCTGGGCATTGTTACCAGTATTGTTATTATTATCGCTACTGTTGCCGGTTACGGCCGAGTGGCGAATGGAAAAGCAGAGGGCCGGTGAAGCCAGCTGCTACATCGAGTGTCGCATTAGAGGCAAATTACACTCCTTCCCCTTCTCCTCCCCCCCCCTCCCTCGTCCGCCTATCGTGGCTTTTATCCCACTTCTCCATTTTTCCGAAAAGTTTCGACTTATCGAGCTGTGTCCGCAAAAACCTGTCGCGACGATATCAAATTAGTTATTATTCTAAACAAGCGTCGCAGGTATCTTAAATTGCAAGAGTAATATACGAATAGTGCAAGGAACTACGAAGTACTCAATGTCGGATATAAGAAAATGAGAGGACTAGCGACAGAGATAGACATTAGAATAACTAAAAAGCAATAATTGAGCAAGAAATTGAAAAACGTATCCAATAACACACTATCAGAAGAACCAGCCGGAAGACACAAATACAAGTCATAAATTTACACTTAATAAATTATTGTATAATTTGCGTTTAAAAGACTCGCAGAGAGACGGCACAGCGAATGTTCCACGGGATACTACTTCAAAATTCCACAGCGCTGTTGCTAAAAGATCGTTTGAAAAAATTTCGCGCGGCACATATAACGGTATAGCAACAAAAGAGAAAGAGAGAGAGAGAGAGAGAGAAAGAGAGATTAAGAGTTTTAGTATGAAGATCTATTGTTCTTGAATTCAAAAATATACAGGGAAGAGAAAGAGAGAGAACGCAAGAAGATCGCGCGCGATTCAGTTACGTGAATAATAATCATAATAATGGGTTTGCGTACCACCGAGTCTTCGCACTCCTCCCTTTGCCCCCTAGTCTCATCTCCCTGCATTGCGGTCGGCAACCCCATGGTGCGCACGTCAGGAGAGGGATCGAATCCCGTAGAGCAGAGGGCGAGTTCAATGCTGTGCAAACACGTATCTACCGCCGTTTTCGAGATCTATCGGCATAGACGAGAGGAGACGAGAGACGAAACGATCGACAACGCAATGGTTCCCTTTGGCACGATAATGGGAGAAACAGCGTCATTAATTCGGATATTCGCTCTTAACATTAGCATTAACCCCCTCAATTCCAGTTATTCACGATATATTTGCAACATCTTTATTTCTATAATTTTTTAAATACCATACATGGAAAGACCGTTGAAGTATAATCTGAAAATTTAGCTGAATACAGATTTAAAAATAATTTTTTGGCACGTTAAAATCATTTGATCTTGAATTATATTTAATTGCTTTGAAAATAATTTTATTGGACATTATCAGAATAATTATGTAGAACCAGGTCTGGCGAGTCGTAATGTGTGAATTTGTGGAGCAATCCACATCCAAAGTTTAGCTTGATGTGGAAACCTACATCATTAAGAAATCTAAAAATTAAAATTTAAAATCAACTGTTAATTTTTTTAAACTCTTTCTTATGAGGAAAATGCGCGGCTGCTGATACTCGCGATGACCGAATATTGTTCCTGAGTTAAAATTACGATTGTATATAATGAATTAAAATTTGTTAAAAGCTCTTCAATTGTACTTTTAGATGTTGTAGACTTCATTTAGAAAAAAGTTTTTGTTTTATTGTAAAAGGAATATTGAAAATGTGCAAAAAATATCATTTAATCGATTTAATCAAAATCCTGATGTTTGCTTATTACACAAATTCTATCAACGACTTGGTGTTCAGCGTAAAAACATATTTAGATACTTTAGCAAAACCGTTCTTTTTTTTCTGGTACGAAATCTTATATACATATGTATGTGTGTGTAAATATACATATATATACATATATACATTATATATTTTATTTTGTCCATAGATTCTTCAGCTTTTATGTCAATTTTCTCTTAAGATTATTAAGAAAGGTTTTATTTTACGAATTAAAATTAATTATAAGATAAATTTATAAATTTCAGTAATTATCTCTTTTTTTCTTTTTCTTTCTTATTTTGTTATTATACTGACAAAGAATTATACTATTGTAAAATTTTCTTCCACTGCAGACTTTTGCTCTATAAATGAAATTTTTAAGCACCGAAAATTAGTAAACTAATTAAAATTCAAGAATTTGACACACCTCGATGAAATTACAC